AGGAATCATGGAGTCTTGTGTTGGATCTACAGCATTTTGAAATGTATATCACCCCAATAATGTGGAAGATACTGTTGTTTACAAGGTTCGGATTTCTTTGATTTTCTTGGAAAAAGTTTGGAACAAGAACCTACAATTATTTTGGTGGAATTTAATTCTCCAACTGTACAATATGAAAGTCATTAATATTCCTGGAAAAGAAAATGTTATAGCAGGGGCTTTAGTGAAAGAACAAATGAAGAGTATTGAATATTGTGGTGCCCATGCACACCAGTAAAACATGCCCCTTAAAGGTACATTTTCATTCTTCTTTGAGTGAGGTGTGAGGTAAGATATGTGATTTATATCGAATGATATTATTTATTTTAGAGTTTGGATTTTAAACTAATGGCATTTGGTGTTTGGTCTCTGTGTATGATGAGTTTAAGGATTAACATGGCTCCATATTTCTGGAGCTATTTTTATTTAAAAGTCAGTCTGAGAAAAGGAGTGCCTGGGATGATAATTAGGGTTTGTTTGCATATGTAAGAGTTTTATAGATGGACAGAGTAAACATTGATGAGCATTGGCTTGCTTTCTATTTATAAGGAACGAGAAAGTCATCTCATTTTGGCTTGGGGAGAAAAAGGCGTTGCTTGGAAAACTTTTGATTTTGAGTTTGCAGAAGTCCTGTTTGAAATTAGATGGAAGAAACAGTTTCTTTTGGAGAAAAGAGTTAATTCAGAAAAGTAAGGAAATTGTTTCAGTTGAAACATCCAGACTAGAGGTGTTTATGTTAGAACCCAGAAAGGTTTATTTGAATCTGGAAAAGTCTAAGCTCAGTGATTTAATTAAATAAGGAAAAGGTTACGAAACTCTTGAGACCAAGAATTGAAAGAAACAGTTAAGTTAATGCTGCGTATGTGATTGAGAAACAAACTTTCCCTGATATTTGGGTATTTTAAGGTGATGGAGTTGTGTTGGATTGGATTGTAGTTTTACTGTATATTTTGAAACTTTCATAAGAACCTAAGAAATAGGAGCAGGAGTAGGCCATCTGACCCCTCGAGCCTGCTCCACCATTCAATACAATCATGGCTAATCTTTCCATGGACTCAGCTCCACTTACCTGCCTGCTTACCATAACCCTTAATTCCTTTACTGTTCAAAAATCTATCCAACTTTACCTTAAAAACATTCAACGAGGTAGCCTTAACTGCTTGACTGGGCAGGGAATTCCACAGATTCACAACGTTTAGGGGAAGAAGTTCCGCCTTAAATCAGTGCTCAATCTGCTCTCCCTTATTTTGAGGCTATGGTCCCTAGTTCTAGTTTCATCCTCCAGTGGAAACATCCTCCCTGCTTCTATCTTGTCTATTCCCTTCATAATTTTATATGTTTCTACAAGACGCCGCCCCCCGCTCATTCTTCTAAACTCCAATGAGTGTAGTCCCAGTCTACTCAATCACTCCTCATAAGCCAACACTTTCAACTCCTGAATCAACCTAGTGAATCTCCTCTGCATCTCCTCCAATGCCAGTACATTCTTTCTAAAGTAAGGAAACCAAAATTCTACACAGTACTCCAGGTGTGGCCTCACCAGCACCCAATACAGCTGCAGCATAACCTCCCTATTTTTAAGCTCCATCCCTCTAGCAATGATGGACAATATTCTATTTGCCTTCTTAATTACCTGCTGCACCTGCAAACCAAACATTTGTGATTCATGTACAAGGACACCTAGGTCCCTCTGTACAGTAGCATGCTGCAATTTTTCACCATTTAAATAATAGCCCATTTTGCTGTTATTCCTACCAAAATGGATGACCTCACATTTATCAATATTGTCCTCCATCTGCCAGAACCTTGCCCACTCACCTAACCTATCAGACTTTCAACGTCCTTTGCACACTTTTCTCCACCACTCATCTTAGTGTCATCTGCAAACTTTGATGCACTACATTTGTCTCCCACTCTAATTTCAAATTGTGCCACAAGCACGCAGCTTGGTTTGTTACAGTTTATCATCTTTTTGTTTGCTTAATAAACCTCTATTTCATTCTTTTAAAAACAAATCTCCAGCATTGTTTGTTTGTGTTTCAGTGGAAGACTGTTTAATTTAAAAAGTGATCTGTCAAGCTAGATTTCAGTTTGGTACCTGATTTGGCAGTAATAACATCATCAAAACACTCATGATGTTGCACTATGCAAGAACTATCTTACATGGGCTTAATACAAACATAAGAAATACAGACTCAACCTTTTATCCTCAACAACAACCTTACAGATGGAAAAACCTCAGCGAAGAGTCACCCTGTCTCCACGCTCAAGTTTCTTGTTCAGTCGATACAGTTGTAGCTGGATTCTGGAGCATTCTTCTTACTGACTTCTCAGCAATTTCAGAGCACTCACATGGGTTTTGCATACACTCAGATTCCAGCATTTATTTTTTGTTTCCGCATGTTTCTCTCTTAAACAACTCAAGACTTTTCCTCTGCAGTCCTCACTTTTTGGAGAATATTAACCAGACAGTACCTTTTTGCTATGACTGAAGTTGCATACACTGCCTGAGCTTCCAGGCTAGATAATGTCTGTTTCTTTTCTTTTACCCTGTTTTCCTAATGCACTTATCCATTCACCTCTATTTCAAACCTGCAAAACCTCACTAAAAATGCATGCATGAGCAAACTTCAGAGACTTCTCACTCACATTAAAACCATGCCTCTCTTCTTAATATAGAGTTGATGTTTTGAATCCAATATGACTGGACCTCAAAACCAAAGAAGAGTCACATTGAACCAGTAGCATTGCTTCTCTTTCTCTCTCCACAGAAACTGCCAGACCTGTTGGGTATCTCCAGCACTTTCTGTTTTGTTTTTTGATATTTCAGATCTCAAGCATCCACAATTTTTTGCTTTTACATAGTCCTAGGAGTTCAGAAGGAGGGATGACCTAATTACGGCATGCAAAATTCTGATGGAGTTTAATAGAGCAGGAGCTGAGAAGATCTTTCCCTTGACTGGAGAATCTGGAATATGGAGGCATAGTCTGGATAATTGACCACAGGCTCTCCATGACCTAGGGACGGGCACAGAGTGCCGACCTAGAGAATAATGCCTCATTACACAAGCGAACAGAGTCAAGAAGTAGCTTCAGAATAAGGCATCGAAAATTGGGGCTGGGGTGAAGAGAATATTCTTCACTTGTATGGAGAGTTGTGGATGCTCAGTCATCTCACAAGACACAGATGAATCAAATTGTGGACATGAATGGAATGAAGGGATGTGTGGACAGAGCAGGAATGTGATTTGAATAGCGAGCTGTGTCAAATGGTCCAATGGCCCACTCTGCTTTAATTTATTGTGTTGTTATGTCTAATTTTATTCAGGTCATGATTAATTACAACCAATTCTTCAGGGCTTGTTTGCCAGCGTCATTCAAAATCAAGTAAGTAGTTCTATTTTTTAAGTTAGTGACTTTCTGGCTAGCTCTGACAAAACCAGATGGTAGTTTGCCCAGCCGCTGGACTGTTTAACCAGGTCGATCTGGTTAAATTCAATGTATAAGTTATTAGCAGGTCTCTGGAAATCCCTCACACTCTGTTTCTCTAATCAGTATTGGGTTTCTTTGTCCCGAGTCTACCTGAACATCTCAGATGAGTAAATAGTTATCCCTATGATTTTTTTCTCCAGGATTGTGTGTTAGTTTGCCTGTGGTTATCCCAACTTTGCCTTGTGGTTGTTTTCCCCAGTTGCTTTCCTTGCTAGATCTGTAGGGAGAGGCTGAATAGGCTGGGGCTATTTTCCCTGGAGCATTGGAGGCTGAGGGCTGACCTTATTGAGGTTTATAAAATCATGAAGGGCATGGATTGGGTAAACAGCCAAGGTCTCTTCCCCAGGATAGGGGAGTCCAAAATCAGAGGGCAAGGGTTTAAGGTGAGAGGGAAAGATATAAAAGGGACCTAAGGGGTAACTTTTTCACGAAGAGGGTGGTGTGTGTCTGGAATCAGCTGCCACAGAAAGTGTTGGAGGCTGGTACAATTGTAACATTTAAGAGGCACCTGGATGAGTATATGAAAGGAAAGCTTTAGAGGGACAAAAACAGAAATTGCTGGAAAAGGTCTGGAAGCATCTGTGGAGAGAAATCAGTTAATGTTTCAGGTTGAGTGATCCTTCCTCAGAACGCAGTTTGGAAGGATATGGGCCAAATGCTGGCAGATGGGACTAGGATATGCGGTCGGTATAGACCAGTTGGACCGAAGGGTCTGTTTCCATGCTGTATAGCTCCATGACTCTATATCTAGTTGGCATGGACAAGTTGGACAGAGGTTCTGTGTCCATGCAGTTGGATCACTATGATTCTATAACTCATTGTCTGGTCAGCAAGGATGAGTTGGACCGAAGGGTCAGTTTCCATGCTGTATTTCTCTATGACTCTACATCTGGTTGGCATAGACCACTTGGACCGAAGGGCCTGTTTCCATGTTGTACATCTCTATGACTGTATATCTGGTTGGCATAGACCAGTTGGACCGAGGCTCTGTTTCCATTCTATTGGATAGTTATGATTCTGTGAATCTATACCTGATCAGCATGGACCAGTTGGGCCGAAGAGGTCTGTTTCCATACTATTGG